TGGCTTCTTGGCTTCTTGGCTTCTTGGCTTCTTGGCTTCTCGGCTTCTTGGCTTCTTGGCTTTTCGGCTTCTTGGCTTCTTGGCTTCTCGGCTTCTCGGCTTCTGGGCTTCTTGGCTTCTTGGCTTCTTGGCTTCTTGGCTTCTTGGCTTTTCGGGTTCTCGGCTTCTCGGCTTCTGGGCTTCTAGGCTTTTCGGCTTTTTGCTGGTTTATGCGGCTTTTGGTGGCTTTTTGGCTTTTCGCATCCTCTGCATTCCCAGTTCCTCTTCGGCAGGTGGCGTTTTTCCGACATCAATGGGGGGGGCTGCCGGCCCCCCCCCAACCCCCCCGCTACGTTTTAGATTTTCTGCAGAGATTTAATTAGTTGCATTCCTAGTTGAATCATCAATTCTTCGAACATCATGGGGGGGTTGCACCCCTAGTTGAATCATCAATTCTTCGACCATCATGGGGGGGGCTGCCGCCCCCCCCCAACCCCCCCGCTACTTTTTAGACTTTTTGCAGAGATTTAATTGCACCCCTATTCAAATCATCACTTCTGCAAACAACATCGTGGGCGGCAGCCCCCAACCCCCCCGCTGCTTTTTATATTTTTTTACAGGGATTGACATGCCCTCCTACTTGAATCATCATTTCTTTGACCCCGTCACACGATTTGTGGGTGATGCTAGGGATGTTGGTGGGACATGCGGGGGATGTTGACGGGCTAGTGTAAAATGCGTCAATTTCGCGAGAACATGCTGTAAAATTCGACACTTTACTGGCCCGGCAGAGATTGAATTGCACCCCTGTTTGAATCATCACTTTTTCGAGCGTCCAATTTCGCGAGAAAATGCTGCAAAATACGACATTTTAGGTAATCTGTGTAGTCCGTGTATGTCTGTATGTATGCATTTCTTCGAACATCATAGGGGAAGCCACCCCCGCCAACCCTCCCGCTGCCTTGTAAATTCTATCACACCCTTTCTTGAATCATTGCACCCCTACTTGAATCACCACTTCTTCCGACATCATGGGGGGGCTGCCGCCCCCCCCAACCCCCCCCGCTACGTTTAGATTTTCTACAGAGAGCATTTGAATCATGAACATCCTGCCTACTTGACTTTTTGCAGAGATTTAATTGCACCCCTATTCAAATCATCACTTCTTCGTGAGTCACACGATTTGTGGGTGATGCTAGGGATGTTGGTGGGACATGCGGGGGATGTTGACGGGCTAGTGTAAAATGCGTCAATTTCGCGAGAACATGCTGTAAAATACGACACTTTACTGGCCCGGCAGAGATTGAATTGCACCCCTGTTTGAATCATCACTTTTTCGAGCGTCCAATTTCGCGAGAAAATGCTGCAAAATACGACATTTTAGGTAATCTGTGTAGTCCGTGTATGTCTGTATGTATGCATTTCTTCGAACATCATAGGGGAAGCCACCCCCGCCAACCCTCCCGCTGCCTTGTAAATTCTATCACACCCTTTCTTGAATCATTGCACCCCTACTTGAATCACCACTTCTTCCGACATCATGGGGGGGCTGCCGCCCCCCCAACCCCCCCCGCTACGTTTAGATTTTCTACAGAGATTTAATTAATTGCACCCCTAGTTGAATCATCAATTCTTCGAACATCATGGGGGGGGGCTGCCGCCCCCCCCAACCCCCCCGCTACTTTTTAGACTTTTTGCAGAGATTTAATTGCACCCCTATTCAAATCATCACTTCTGCAAACAACATCGTGGGGGGGCATTTTTTTTTACAGGGATTGACATGCCCTCCTACTTGAATCATCATTTCTTTGATCCCGTCACACGATTTGTGGGTGATGCTAGGGATGTTGGTGGGACATGCGGGGGATGTTGACGGGCTAGTGTAAAATGCGTCAATTTCGCGAGAACATGCTGTAAAATACGACACTTTACTGGCCCGGCAGAGATTGAATTGCACCCCTGTTTGAATCATCACTTTTTCGAGCGTCCAATTTCGCAAGAAAATGCTGCAAAATACGACATTTTAGGTAATCTGTGTAGTCCGTGTATGTCTGTATGTATGCATTTCTTCGAACATCATAGGGGAAGCCACCCCCGCCAACCCTCCCGCTGCCTTTTAAATTCTATCACACCCTTTCTTGAATCATTGCACCCCTACTTGAATCACCACTTCTTCCGACATCATGGGGGCTGCCGCCCCCCCCCAACCCCCCCGCTACGTTTTAGATTTTCTACAAATTCTTCGAACATCATGGGGGGGGCTGCCGCCCCCCCCAACCCCCCCGCTACTTTTTAGACTTTTTGCAGAGATTTAATTGCACCCCTGTTCGAATCATCACTACCCCGCTCTGTTTTTCTTGGATTTTGTTACCCACCATTTGTTGGTGATGCTAGGGATGTTGGTCGTACATGCGGGGGATGTTGAAAACGATGCTGGGGATGTTGACGAGCGAAAAACGGAAAAAAAAAAAACCCAAAAAGAAACGAAAAAAAATCCCAAAATAAATCCGCACCCGTTCTACAGCCCTTTTGGAAGAAACACCCAACGCCGCTATGTGTTCAAAACGAAACGAGCAAAGACTGGGTCATGAAATCGCTGTAGGTGATGCTGCGACATCAAGCCCTTCTACTTGTGTGTAAGAACATCCTTTCCCCCTCCAATTTCGTCGGACATCTTCAATTTTGCGAGAAACTCCCAACCTTTGCGTCACCGGAACCCCCTTCCAACTTGGCCGCTTTCAGAAGATCACAGCACTCGATGGCGCCCTTCATGTTGCATTTGGACAGCTTGGCACGAATGCAGGATTCTGCATGCAATATATGTATATATATATATATATGTGTGTGTGTCGCGAGGAAAGCAGATATACAACATAATGCTGATCCGCAGGGATTTGCCCGTGGATCATGTTTTATTGAGATTGCGAATGCACCTGGAGTATCCCGGAGTCAGGGAAATAAGACGAGACGCTGAAGCGCCTCGCAGGAGCATTCTGCTCGAGATGCTCGACTTCAGGAGCATTCGGACAAGGCAAGTAATGTGAATGAGTGTTCTTAGTGGTCAGTTGCTTTTGGCCATCATTTCAATTGTCATTTATGTCAGCCTAGATCATTTCGGTGCACACCGCTTTCTGGGGCCTAGGAATTTCAGGCGGTCCAAAGCTGCAGTGGGAACAGTGCGCCAGCCTCACAGGTCAGCCGTGCCCTTTATGGCAGCCGGCAGCTCAGTGACTCAGGAGCCGCGGGAAACGGGAATTTCTAATGAAAGACCGTTGGTTGTTTTGGATGCAATCCATGTTGGGATCGAAAATTGCCCACCGAGGGGTTTGCACTATGGCAGAGTCCAAAGCCCAGGACGCAGGATCCTTTGGCTTTTGTTGCACGCCTGGCGTCCCTTTATGCGACAAGTGTGGCATCGCGACGGACAGATCTTACGCTGAAAATGTTGTGTTGAATCGACACCTTACATGAATTTCTGACCGCGCGTGAGCGGGCTGCTTTCAAGAAGTGAAACAACATCGTTCAGGACAGTGTCATGTTTGTTTGGACAGTTTCTGGCAACACTAGGAATTTGACTTTTCCGTGAGCAGCTTGACATTGTCCCAGCCTGTCGTGTGGGCCAAGTTTGGAAGAAAAGCCGGTCCCGGCCAAAAGTAAGTCTCCGGGGCGGCAGTTCAGAGTGGCAGACAAGGTTGACAGTCTGCCTAAGTACTAAGCCTATGCTTTGAGGCTGAGCGTCAATAGCGAATTCCAGGTTCTGATGTCTTGCAACGAGGGTTGCCATATTATCATATTGAGGGTTGATCTACCCTTGCTGGCAAGTTGTTCAAAGTGGAATGTGCCGGAAAAGGGGCCGTGGTTTGGAGTGACAGCAGTACCAAGAGAGCAAGCTGTGTTTGTAGTCTTAAGTTTGTCAGCAGCGCGGGTGCTGGAAAGGCAACTGATATCATTTTTGAACCGAGCCAGACATAGATGAGGCCAGCGCACTCTTTGTTGGTTGTTGCGCACCTTGCACTCGCCACCAGCAAATACATGTGTGTGTGTTTGCGTGTGTGTGTGTGTGCAATTAAGATGTCATTTGCTTGTTGGGGTTGGCTATGACATGCAATAGCGGACTGTGAGGAAGCCATGCCCTTGGACTTTGAACCCCCTCCTGCTAGCTTCAACACATGCAATCGCCTGAGCCGATTCCCTGCTTGCTCAGGTCCGGATTTGCTCATGTATGAGCGTGTGAAGCTCTTCCTAGAAAACGCGTGAAAAGACCGTCGCCACAGATCATGTTGTAGTTTAATTTGTCTCGACCAAGTGGGCAGAGAGGACTCTTATGAAATGAAGCCAGTATATCGAGGCCGCATTGAAGTTCTAAGAATTGGCACCTTCCTCAGAGCTTTTACCCTGACAGGGGGTCCAGTCTTCCAGGTACCCTGCCACAGACCACTCCATTTGTCACCAGCCTTGCAGCAGCCATCTTTGGCCGGGGAGTTCCCATGATCGGTTTGCGCAAACTGAGGAGTTGGGCATGAGGAGTGGGCGTGTCTTTTTTTAGGGAACCCCAAAATAGCTTCGGTTTTCCTGTCGATTTCCCTTTAAGATCACCAAAAGAAGGGTACCGGGCCTCAAAGAAAGACACACCCAATGTGAAATTGACGCACATTGCAGGGCACTGTCTAAGCTGCCAATGGTTGTTTGTTCTGCCGCCTGTTCTGACGTGTTGCTCCATTCCTCCATCATGTGCTATGTCATGGTCCTGGTGCTGTACATGTTTACGCCCAGGTGTATCGAATTTAATTTCTTGGCCTGGTGGCTGGTTTCTGACGTGCTGCGAAGCAAAGGCCTGCTCACCGTATCAAGGTTACTCTTTTCACCCTTCACCCATACTCTCGTAGGCGCCGACACGGAGAGCGCTGATGAATCACGAAAATGGCAAAGATACAGCAAAGCCTTTTTCTGAGAGATTGCAACCCATTATTCTTCACTTCAATCAAGTTTATTGTCTCGTGGTGACCCCTTCAGCCCTTAGTGGTTGATTTGTTTCTTCTGCAAGCTTGAGCTTGCAGACTTTCCACGACAGTTTCACACACGTCCGCACAACGTCGCCTGGACACATGGCGCAGCTGGGGTCTTAAAGACATGCGGCGAGATGAACAAGCCTTGTGTGGGAAGCTGTTGTGGTTTGTTTAGTGTTTGTAGCAGATGCAAAAGCAGTTAATGCGATGTCTCAATGGCACAGCTTATGTGTCCTACATCCACTGATTGTTGGTCAAAACAGATAGAAATGGTTGGGTACATGTCCTGTCGCAGACGGAGTCATTGTTCATGTAACTGCAGCAGGCGCTTGCTTGACATGATAACAACACTACCACAGCCAAATCGCTGATGACAGCAACCTTAGCAATTGCATACTGGAACAGTTCTGCTAAATGTATTGCAAACTTCAATCCACGCGTGGTGTTACCCTATAACCCGCCATCTCATCCAGTGAGATGGCTTCTGCGCCTTTCAAGCCGTTTCCACGAATTGCTGCACGCTAGTGGTGTTCCAAGCACTTCATAATGCCTTCTTGTTTCGGCTTCAGTTTGCAAACCATGCAAATGTTTGTTTTGGGTGCGCGTGAACGTGTTTGTGTTACCGTTTGTGCCAGCATGCTATGGACGCTTCTTGTACATGTTTATGTTGTTAGCAGCATGCCCAAGGGATGCGCGTGAGCACATTTGTAATTTCTTGTGCAGTAGGCGGTGCTCGTGGTCGTGTTTCTTGACACTTGCGCCCATAAACCTGCTCTGAATCGCACACTTGCCCGGGAACATGCCGAAGATATGCGCATTGCTCATGGATCGCCACAGAAACTAAAAATAGCTGGCGCTTTTCTTGGGCCCAGCCCAAGTTGTTTTCCTCTCGGACTGGGCTGGGCTGAGGTGATGTTCTGCTGCGCTTACATTGAAGACGGTGAGGCCACGGCACGTGCGACAGAAAGTGGATGCCTCTCTCCGGAAACAGTCCCTTCCCTCTTGGCGGCTGAGGGCTACAAATTGTTAACTCAGCGGCGGACTTGTTGTTTTTTTTTTGGCGGTGGCGCGAATGTCGCAGAACTCCAAGATCTTGCCGTCGAACGGCAGATCGCTTTGGCTGCCATGTCTTGCACCATTTGCCAGTCGGCCCAGTTCCACAGGCGGCCAAGCTCTTTGCCAATATTGGGGCTAAGTGCACCACGCCATGTGCCGGATCCTGCTTTGAGATCGTGGAATGATAGGGTCTTCATGGCACTGATGTCAACACAACCGCGAAAGAAAGAACAGCCCGAGGCCCTGACACCACCACCCGACTTTTTCCAACCCGAGACCAGCCGTGGATGAGCCCTAAACCTGCCATAGACTATGACGTTGGTCGTAGTTCTCCTATCAGGATCAAGGTCAAACAAAATATGATTTGTATAGGAGTTACCTCGAATCGGCCTTGGCAAACCATTATGTTGGTCCAGCTTCGCTCGCCCCCTAACTAGGGCGCGTCTCACTCCTGCGCCTTTTGCAAGGGTTGCGCCAACAGGAAAGCCTTGCCGTGGATGCCTATCCGGCTGCTGGTGTCCGGATACCTAGTGATGTGACCTGCGCTGTGCAAGGGTTGAACGCAAAGTCTGTGGAATCCCATCCGGGGGTAGGTACCAAGGGGGGGGTAGTCCTAAGGTTCCTTACAGCACACACAGGGCTCCTTAGGGAGCCTTATTCCCTAATTGATGGGTTCAAAGTGCCACCATACTCCCGGTAGCCTGACCATGGGAGCAAGATCAGCATCCATTCTGGAAGCTCAAGCTCTTTTTTCGCATGCCCATCGCGGACGAAAATATTTGTTGCTGAGCAAAACAACAGAATAAACATAATGGTGGTTCTGTCCAGGGCTCGACCGACTGGGCACTTGACCTGTCCGGCATCCGCTGTTTCAAGATGATGCAGCGAAGAGGTCCATGGTTGTTTTATTGAGTGCCTCATTACATCATAATAGTGTGGAATTTACCTATCCCATTGGCAAGCTTCACAGGCACAGGCAGCGTTCTGAATTCAGAACCCATGCGGCAAAAGAAAGGGAACCTTGCTTGAGTAACTTTATCCGATTGAGTGACTTTATCAGCGTTCAAGAGGGCTGTGATGAGACATCAGCTTAAAGGCAGCATTGCAATCTGACCGAATTCCACGGGAACCTGCCCTTGGAAGCGTTGTACTTCTTATCACGTCTGGAGTGACTTTAGTCGTCACTTTGCACTCGGACATGCTTTGAATTCTTCAGCCTCCAAGGCACCACTACGATGCCGATCCGGATATTGCCTCATCCAAGGAAGCACCCCTGCAGACGAAAATTCCATCGCGCCAAATTACTCCCCAGGTACAATTGGGGAGTTTCTAAAAGTGTTTTTTTTCTTTTCACCTGGGAGTCAAGCAGTCATCCCGCGCTGAGATGTCAAACAGCCAGCAGGTTGGACCGGCGGACCTTTTCGAGGAGTCCCGAGAGTATCCAGATGGAGTGCCACTCAGAGAGACTCGTCACAGTGCCAAGAGTTTGATGCGATGGGCTCAAAAAAGGTTCCTGAAAAGATTCCTGCGTTGTCCGAGGGTAAAACTTGCATTCCGGCAACCTCGCCTTTGCCTTTCAATACAAATTGGTTGATTGTAATCTGTTCCCTACTGCATACGCAACCTGCCGCACAAACAGCACGTTCAATGCTTGTGGCAACGTACAAAGTGACGGCGAAGTGCTCAGCATTTGCACTTTGCTTGCAGATTGCAATTGCTTGAATAGTGGATCCAATCATTGCTCATTTGGCACTTTCTTTGCGGGGGCCAATCATGTAATACTGTGTTTAAGTAATTGGCATGCGTAACCTTTGTTTGGCAGAGTTATTGGCCGACGTAGCAGATGCCCTAGCAGTGGGACACATTATTAGAAGCGGCCAAGCTTGGATTGAACACATACGTCACGCAAGGACACATTTCTTTGTTTACGCTAGCAAACAGACAATTCTTTGGCAGAATCTGATCAGCTATATTGTTTTATTCAATATGGACACCGTGTTTTCCTCCAATGACTAACCAGCAGCTTATGGGGGGAACCCTACCTGACCATGGTAACAACTGTCTTACTCTTTTTCAGTGGCAATGTCTTGGGACACTTCCGCACGGACGTTTTCTCTGAGGCTGCTCTGGTGATAAGGCAAGCCTTGCTTTTGCTACATCAATTTGCTTCTCTCGACTCGCCCTTGCCAAAAAGTCTTTCCACGAGATCAATACGCTGGCTGCCGGCCGAGCAAGTTTATCGCGTAGTTACTGAGCAACGGATACACGCAGGGATCATTCGACTCGAATCTGGAGGTCGCCTGGGGAGTTGACCAAGTTTCGATCCCTCGGCTGCTGGACATGGGTGTGGCTTTTTGGAGGATACCCTTGTCACCTTGAGTTAGGGAAACCAAACGTAAACCGGCCATTGCCGGGGTCCTTTTTCTGCACCCATATTGAACTCGTGCAACGTGACCAGTGCTTAGGCTCCACGTACGTGGGCCAGTGGCACGACCGGGTGAGATGTGGTCAAGGCGTCCAGGCGCGCAGGGCGTAGGCCCAAGGTCAGCTTGAAGGGAAATCAAACGGCCAGCATCCCCCCAACTGCTTTTTCCCATGTCCAAATTTCCAAGTACTTTCCAACAGGCTACATTTTGTTGGGTCCTATTTGAATGGTGTCCTTGGATTTGCTTTGATAACTGATTTAACTCAGAACCTACAAGGGGTGCTTCCATGTCGATTGCGTGGCCGCACCCCTCGGATTGTTTGCTTTGAGATCAGCGCTCTGCTTTCTGTGGTTTGCTTGGCATTTGGCCTGCCTGGGCGCCTGCACCAAAGTCGGAATTTGGAGCTGGCAGAGTGCGCATGGATGGACATGAGGCGGTGCAATATTCGATTCGGAATATTTGTGCAGTCGCCCTTCCATCGCTGACATGTGTTTGTTTGCCACTATCCCTGTACTACTGACAGCATCAGCACACGGAGCCAACACGCAGCACGCATCAGCAGTCGTCAATGGTCCTCGTCAGTATTCATCAACTATCAACTGTCATTAGCCATCATCATGAGAGATAGCATGCCAGGACACGAGAGAAATTATGCAACACACACACACACAAATGTGTGCCACGCCTGACTCGCAATCATGGAGAATACGCCTTTGATACGGCGTGCAACATGAACTTTGACATATCCTACATAATTAACACATATTTATACACAGAGACGATTGACCCCACATGTCTCGTTTTGATCGTCAATCGTGCCCTGGTCAAGTAGCTTGACTTTCATTTGCTTAAGATCAGTTTTTACTTCCCCTGTTGATTTACTGCAGAAGGAATCTATCCCTACCGTTTTTTGTTTCTTTTCTTTCTTTTTTCTGGGGGCTGAAGCAAACGGAGGGTGAGAAAGGATGCTTGGACTTCGGAGCTTCTCATCTCTGACCCCAGACCTGGAGCGACGGAGCGCGCTACATCGGGGCTTGGGATGACGATCTCTTCCACGGCTTCGGCAGGTGCGGCTTTTCCCGAGCGATTTTCCTCAAGCGCTGAGTCGAAACAGACAAAAGCGGTCGTAAGTTCAATGAAGGGCTTGGCCGCAATCAGTTCAGACTCAGCTCTGTAGGGTCAAATGCCTCCCACGCCGTCATGTACTTGAGCAAGGTGGTGTTCATGTATGCAGTGTTGTGCACGTTTATGTTTCCAGGCACCAGAGAAGGGCATTTGAGTAGCACAGATTTCTGTGCGCGAAAGGTTTGAACATGTCAATGGCGACATCTACGATGGTGACTTCCGACATGGTGCTGCTCACGGCAAAGGCGCGTGGGGACTCTCCTACACTCCCGCTGGCGTAAAGTCATGTGCAGTAATGGGTGGTTGGCGACTTGTGTTCCAACAAAATGCACATCATTTTATCCCACAAGCAAAACGTGAATTCCCACTCCATGTGTTCACCGTGAATTATGTGTATGTGTCAAGGCAATTGCACATATCACGTTGCAAACATGTGTATATACTAAGTATATCATTTTTTTTATATAGATATATATGTGCATACGTATATATAATATGATGCATACACAATATATATATATATATATGTACATGATTACACTTGCAGCCATGCCTTTTACAATACAACATGGCCTCAACGCTCATCAAGCAAAGTCTGCTCTTGGCTGAAGATGTACCCAGCGGTTGTTCACACTGATCCGCGAGCTGTGGAATAAGACCACTCCGCTTGTAGCATCTTGTAGCGCTGTCACTGTCGAGGCAGCAAGTCAGCCCGTTCTGTGTGCATTGCTACCGCACCTTTGGGGGCTTGTGACTTCGGTGAAGCTGTCTTAGCGATCGGTGGATTGTTCTGAGGTACCCAGGTTGGTTTGTTTTCAAAAGTGCAAATCTTGCACAGCCATGCAGCAGGAACAAACCGCCTGTTTGTGCGCGACACATTGAGCTTGATTTGCAAACCAGATACGGCGGCCTGATATCCCGCACAGCCTATGCGTTGGGTGTCATATCGAGCTAGTCAATGCGGTGCACTGCCACCTTAGTGAGATCCCAACCAGCGCTAGACTGAAGATGTCAGATGGTTAAACTATTGAAGACATGCATGGCTGTGGGTCAATCATCGAAACCCAACGTGGACGCCTGGTAAATGGAAACAAGGACTAAAGTCCGCGGTCAGCTGGTGTTTTTTTTTTGAGCCACGCCCACACCGGAGATGGGCGCATCTCAAGGATGTGCCGGCAGGGTCCTTCGCGGCTGCATGGGATCGAGTTGGAGATGTTTCATTTGAAGTCATAGGTGTCATTGAAACATAGATGACCCGGGCAAATGGACTAGAACCTATCCAAACCAGTGGCAGGGCCATCGAGTTCTAACCAAACAACCGAAAAAGACACTTCTGGTTGAAGTGCTGCTTCACATGGGCGTGTGACTTGGAACCCGAGCTCAGGAACCTACCAGCAGGCTTCGGGTGCTCGATATGTGGGAGAGTGGCAGGAGGCAGGGTCGTGCCCTGGATATCCTGAGCTGTCCAGAGCTTTGGGCTGTTTCGTCTTTCCTTGGCATTCGGGCCCTCGGCTAGCCCGCAAGATTCGGGGAATTTGGTAAGGTTGGCGACGGTGGATTCGGTGGATGTGGGATCTTATGGGCTTAGAGTAAAGGATTCTAGATGAAGGTTTCTTTGAATTTGTGGGTTTATGGGTGAGGGGTTTTGCTGTGCTGCCTTGCCCGATCACTTGCATGGCGCGTGCGTAAGCAAACTCTTGCTGCTGTGATGGAGAAGGATTTCGCAGAGTCAAATCTTGGGAAACCAGACAGCAACAATAGCTGTTTGTGGTTGCTGTTTTTTACATGACTTTTTGAGTTGAGCGGCTTCACCTGACGGTTGCAGTTGTACTTAAAGGTGCATGGTACGTCAGACAAGTGGGTAACAACCATGGTGAGATAACCCACAAAAGCCATGGTTAGTCTCCGTTCATTGGGTTATTTCACCAGGCCTACGATCACCACTTGCCTGACGTACCGAATGGATGGCCCCCCGGATATTTTTCCGGGCCGTGCCAGGACCTGAAGCATGGCAAGGGAGAAGAGCTTTGGCCAGATGGCACCAGGCGCCTGAAACTTGAGCTGGAGCTGCGAAGGTTTCTGGGGATCCCTGATGTCCGTTTTCTGAATCAGCATTTCCCTACCGGAGCTATGCTACTATTATGTAGACGAAAAAATGGCCTAAGCAAACATATAGAACAAGAGTGTGTCTTTTAAACCCCAGAGCAAGTCACAGGTCCGAAACGAAGATCTTTGGGCCTCAGATGGGCATCAGTTCGGATCCTTGTGCCGGCTGGCGCCAGGCGCTGCCCTGGTTAGACCTTTTTTTTCCCCCCAACAGCTGAAAGCTTTGGGGTCTCAGCCCAGATAGGCTCCGGGGTGGTCCGGGGCGGCCCTGAGGTAAGGTTCACAAGGGTTCCAGCAGGGTTCCACGAGAGTTCCACGAGGTTCTGCCAGCACTAAACAGAGCACCGCATGCTGTTGGGGGATATCACCCGAGCTTCTTCTTTTTCCGGGGCATTTGTTTGGTGGGCAATCTTTTCAGGCAACCCTCGGTTGGTGGTTTGTGATTTGGGGATTTGAACCCCTGCCTTTGGTAGAGGGTAAATGGTAACCTCTCAGCCACCAAACCACCAATCCAAACCACCAAATAGAGAGAAGCTGAATCTTGGCTCACCTGCCACTCAGGAGACACCATGAAACCGACAAATGGCCAGTTGCGAACCAGATAGGGAGGGAAACAATGATTTGCAACGCCTCTTTGCATTATTCACTCTTGTTCGAGTGACCCCATGGCAGAACTGTACTTTCCTTGATGTGGAGGCCTTTGCTTTTGTTGCAGCAGCACACAGACTCATCATGCTTGTTGCTCCTGTTTGTTACTTGAGCGGTGTTGGTGGACATACAAACATATATATATATATATAGAAATACACGTACACATGCACGTTTCTGTTCAGAAACTGAAGCATGCGGAATGATGCTTACGCCTAGCAGGTAAGGAGCCTTCTGACAGCAGCCTAAGGTTGATGACTTTTAGAACATCGCCAATGCAGAGCGGCTCGTGTTTGCAGGTAGTCACAATGGACACTTCAGGGATTCTTTCAAAGGGTGCAGATGCCCGCTTGGGGCCCAGAACCAGCACGCCCACATTAGCAAATCTCTCGTTCTGATTGATGCGCCAACATGTAGTTTCTGGCTTCAATGCGGGTGTGTACAATTCCCCTCAGTGGCCAATGTGCTACAGGACCAGGTTGATGCTGCGCTGCAAACATCCCACATTTACAACATCCATCACATGTCAGGACAACTTAATTTGCTGCTTTTGACTTCAGTGTCGGGATCCAGAGACCAATTGAAGAGTTATTGCCACTAACTGGATGGGTGGCAGGACAGATCCATCTCACCTTTGTGATTGCGGCTTTCGCTTGCGGCTTTCGCTTATTGACTGTTCGTGATTGCTCATGTGACACGTAGACGCAAGTGACCTGCTCCACTGTTCCTCTCACACGCACGTATATGTTCTGGCTAGCCTACTTGAGTAAGACTCTGTTTGAACTCGTGAACTTGTATTCGGTAGCCTTTGCTCTCCTCAACGGTTCCCTACGCGTAGTGTGGTTGCCATCAACTTGTTCTTCGACCCTGCACAATTTCCCTGATTGTGTAATTCAAATTGATCCGCGCCATTCCCTGCGAAGCAGCTTTTAGACCGTTCTCGTTGATCTCCAATTGGGCAGGGCGCATGTTTCGTATGTTCCATTGTTCAGGTTTGTCAGCCCACATGCAGCAGAGGTACGAGGGCGAGTACTGCAAAGGTGAGAAGCATGGCTGGGGGCTGTTGACCTGGTCAGATGGGCCGTGGCCCTAGCAACCTGCAAGCGTTTGCATGTGTTTTTCCACCCGGCCAGACCGACTTCGGGTTGCTAGATTTTGAGGAACAGTTGCCATGACGCGCATGTATCAATGCTCTTTTGCTCCGTGTTTTCCTTCTTCCCTTGCAAGCTGCGAGCCGGAGAGGTCTGACAGACCTGTCAGGTGTTGCAGGCGGGCAAACTGTCGAATTCGGAGGCCGCTTCGTCCCTGTCCCGAAAGAGCAGACTCCTTGGCCGGATGCAAAAGTTGCCCTTCCTGCATAGCACGCCGCACGCCTGACACGAGATCGTCAAGGTGAGCCTTTCAGAGTCGACGTCTCGAACTTCTTCTTTTGCGTGCCTCCGCCGTTCAATTTGAAGTCTTTCCCGCTGGTTGCCTTTCTCCTCCACAACGCCGGAGCAAATGTCAACACCTTGGCGCTCGCAAGGCGCGATGCGTGCACGGCGGTGCAACTGATTGAATCTGCAGGACATGAAGCTTCACGCAGGACACCACTCTGACATGTGTTCACCTTGAACGAGCGCAATCTTATTGCACCCATCAATGTACGTGGGCAAGCAAAGGTGCCAAGCTCGAGGCAAATCGCTGAGGTCCTTCTACAAGGGGGAGTTCCGAAAGAAGCAGATTGACGGCGAAGGCGCGCCACCAATTTGGGTTCGTCTCAAACGAAACGACCCCCCAAACAATAGGCGGTCACCATTTGGTTTCCTTTTCAATCCAACCCAAAAAGCATGTGCCCTGCAAGAAGGCACACCCACCAGCACCACCAACTGCTTGTTCCCATGATCAAAATCCCAAGTCCAAAAAATAAATGGTTGGGATCCATCTTGCTTTTGTTTTCTGCATCCGGCGTTAGGTGAGTACTTCTGGGCAGATGGTCGGCGCTTCGAAGGACAGCGCTTGCCTTAGGTTGCTACTCCGAGCCAGCCAGTTTGCCCAACAGCCCGGGTGGCTTTTTGGATTTTTATCACCCACCCCGAAAAACAGAAACGGACTTGGGGGAGGAAACGAATTCGACCCCTGGACTTCCATTTATGGCAACCCATGTTCCCAGGGACGGAAGCCAGACCAAACAGCTGGGTAACTTTACTCGCTTGCTCAAGGCGGCGTGTAGCCTTTGAGTTTCCCAAGTTTAGCGCGTGCTTAGTCATTGCCCCAAAAGGTTACTTTTTGTTTCCAGGTCTTCTAGTTCTTGGCAAGTGGCGTTACTTTGGGTAGTAAGAGCAATTGATTCTCCGAGATAGATCGTTATCCGCTTCCCAACTGAATACAAAAAGATTGTGAAAAGCCTGCGTTACAATGGTTTGGATTTTCCTAGAAGATCGCAAGGTACTGCAAGTCCTAAGGCCAGATAGGAGAAGTGACCTGATTTTCCATCTTCAACTTAGGACTCCAATTGCCTACTTGTCTTTTGGTTTACTCACTGCTTACTTTGCTTTTTACGTTCTTGCTTACTTGGATGACGTTTTGTGTTGCATACTACTGTACTTGTTTGCATGATTAATGAACTGCTAATATAGGTTTTCTTGCCTTGTGTCTTGTGATATTCTTATCCTGCCTAGATGTTGCACACTGCACGCATACAGAATCAAACAATGTATGTCCCAAGATGTGTGGGTCCCCCAAGCTATTTGTAGTCGATGCGCATGATCGTAGGTTCGGCCGTTTTGATACATGGCATCTGAAGTCTACATCTGGGTCTCGCCTCAGGTGGCGGCTGAATCAAATCCATGGCTTTGGCTTGGCACCCAGAGGATATCTCCTTGACCTGTCGCAATTCTGGCAATATAAACATGATATATTGTTCAGAGTCGGAACTACCAAGCACAAGTGCCTGGTGGACATGAATCAATAGAGGGTTCCCTATTGAAATTCAATCCCATTTGTGGATTATGTCGAGATCTGTAAGTTGTTGGATGACACTTGAGTCCGGCCAGTTTCTCCAATGCGTGCTGCCGCATGTCCAATCATTTCATGTCTTCTGATTGCAAGGGAAGAAACATCACTTGCGGGATCTGGAGTTGTTGAACCAGACACAGGTCGTTGGGAGCTGGGGCCTGGGTGTGAGCCTGTGTTTGTCTATGTTCCTTTTTGCTTGCGAGAATGCAAAGAAGTTGAATACCTTTTGCAATGCTTTGTACTTGCGGCAGTATGGGGGAAGTGAGAAGCTCAGTTGGACCAACGCTTGGATAGTATAGCGAAAGTGAGACAGATAGAAAGGGGGAGACAGAGAGAGAGAGAGACAGAGAGAGACAAAAAACATGTGTGTAGCACTACACTTTTCCATTGAACTGCCAACAATTGTTTCATTTTCCAGCTATGGGGTTCTGCCTGAGCTCGCTTGCCATGGATTGCTTGGTGTTCTACATGCGCTCGCTTGCCATTTGGCCCCGAGGTTGCTTTACCTGGCCAGATGGCCGCCGCTATGAAGGGGAGCTGGGGACTCATTTGGTTCACGGTGGGGGGTTCAATGGCCTCAAGGGTTCCCTTTGTGGGTCACTGAGAGTGGTTCTTGCCTTCCCAACGAAAATCAGAAGGAGTTTTTTGGGGACCGATACTTTGGTGCAAAAAAAAACCTGGATGGCTTTGAGGTTTTCCAGACATGCGCGGTGCTTATCCTGGATACCCGACAAGTTTTGTAAGGATGTGTGCAAGAATATTTGCCCATACCTGTCAGCCTGGCCTATGTGCACCTAAGGAGAGTCGAACTATGTCCACTCAAGTATTCCTGGAGGAATGACAGGAATCTACTCTGTGTACAAAGACAGTATGCATATGTTGGTTGTTGCATGTTGTGTTTGCTTTTCAAAACACAACAATTTCAGAAATCCATGGTCCTTCGCCATTTGGCATCTGGCCATTGGCGATGCACATGTTTTACGCTGGCCGGAACTTCCCTTGACATAAGTGACTAGGAGCCCCCAACTCTGCAAGGCACCTTTGATCGAAGCCCAAGTTCTTGACCGCAACTCCGCACCTTTCAAAGGGTGGTTGGCAACCAAGAAACGTAGCGTAGTTGTCCGGGGTTGCCATTAGGTATACAAGCGTGTGTGTATATATATATATGTGTGTGTATGCAAATAATTTCTATAATATATACATATATGCATTTGTTGTTATTTTGCGGTTATGTTTTTGCGGTTATGTTTTTGCGTATGTTCCGTGTTAGTTAGTTAGTCAGTCAGTCAGTCAGTCAGTCAGTCAGTCAGTCAGTCAGTCAGTCAGTCAGTCAGTCAGTCAGTCAGTCAGTCAGTCAGTCAGTCAGTCAGTCAGTCAGTTAGTAGGTGTGTTTTGATTTTATTTGTTGCTTATGTGCTTATGTGTTGTTCTTTGTTTATTGTTTGTATTTGTTTGTTTGTTTCGTTATTAGTTTCTTTGTTTTATTCGTCTTATTTGTCTTTAGTTGTTTCTTTGGTTCTTTGTTTATTTGGTTATGTGTTTATGTGGCTCTTTGTTGCTCAAAATGGTTTCATGTTTTTGCTTTTGTTTGTGTGTGTGTGTGTTTTGTTTGTTTGCTGGCTTGCTTGCTTGTTTGTTTGTTTGTTTGTTTGTTTGTTTGTTTGGTTGGTTGGTTGGTTGTTTGTTTGTTTGTTTGTTTGTTTGTTTGTTTCTCTCGTCTGTTCGAGGGGCCGCTCGCACTTTAGTTGCGTCTAACAAAATATGTTGCGCGTGTGTTTGCAAGAAGGGAGGTGATTTGCTGCGTGGTCTGAAGGTACGAGAACGACAAGAAGCATGGCGAGGGCATCTTTGAGTGGCCGGACGGACGCAGGCAACAGATAGGGCTTCGCAAGAAATGCGGGCAGCGCTACATGTCGGAATAGTCATGAGGGGGGGAGGGGGGAGTTTGGTCAATCAGCTTTTAAGCACCCGAGATGCAATGCCCCGAATTCTGGCACATAGCCGGTTGTCTTTGAATGAAGCTTGTGAAAAGGGAACATGTTGAGGATGCCTTGGTGACCAGCTGTGCACCCTGCAGAATTATCGGATCAACTTTGGTTGACTTTGTCTCTGCCTGCCACAAGCCAGTCGAGACAGAAGCCTTCATTTGATATAGATTCTGGGCTGCCTTCCTTTTCTACCTCCCTGTGCTTGTTCTGTGCATTTCACTGCATGCCTTGCTTATGAGCTTGCTGTCAGGCCTTGTCGCCTACTGCGTGATTTTGTGTTTCAATCTAGTTCAGCTGATTCTGTGAACTGAGATCACCTGAAAGCTGGCCATTCCTTACTTGGGTACGGATCAAAATTAAACCACCAGGGCACCGCAGGTTTGAGTCCGGGCCGGGGTCACCCTATTTGACCACGTCCACCTGCCAGACTTGCCGTTTGCCAGACGCTTTCGTGTCTCTCGTTGGCCACTTCCGACTTCCGGCCAGGTACGAGGGTCAATGGGCCAACGGCCAGCAAAGTGGCAAGGGCAGCCTCTGCAAAGCTGATGGCTCCTAGCCTCAGCTCCAGCTGGTGGGCTCGGACTCCCATGCTTCCATTTGCTGAAAGGAATATGTTATTTATTTTCCCCTGTTGGTTTTAAAAGGGAATCTATCGGATCTATCGCTACTGGAAATATGTTGTTGTTTTTTTTTGCAGGGGACTTAAGTAAATGGAGGCTTGAGTTAAGGATTTGGGCCCTTGAAGATGGTTTTCTACATGGATTTGGATCGGCACGGCCTCCACTTGATGGATTGAGAAGATAATGAGATGATACACCAACACAAGTGGGGTGTGTTTGTGTTCGATGATTTTGGCATTCCACGCTGAGCTCCAGAATGTAGTCAGTAGGACATGGGAAGAATTTTGCTGTCTTCGCTTGCAGCAGTGCGGAAGTGGTCATGTTTCCAACTGCACAATATCCTCGGCACTGCGATGGGACAGCGCAACAGCACGGGAGGGGCTCGAGGAAAGATAGGCAAAGAGCATTGCTGTGAACAGAATGGGGAGAGGCCCGCTTTTGCGGCTTCGGAACATGGGGCGCTTTCCTTTGGCCTTTGGCGTCTCTTGTCAGCTAAGGGTTGCTGTCCCTGACGGCTTTTGCACCCTCCGGGGTCGGTGCCGTTTGCTCGAGCCGATCTCAGGTACCGAGGAGGAGGGCATTTGGCAAGGCGGCAAGCTCACGAGCCGCGCTGCAGAGCTGTGACACCGAGCAGAGCAAAGCTGGTTTTATCGATTTCCAGGGCTCCGTTTTGCTGGGCATCCGCGGGGAATGCGGGAATGACTAAACCAGAAGATCCCCAGCTTCAAGCCCCTTTTGATTTCCTAATGAGTAACTATTAGCTGCAGTGTTCTTTCAATGTGAATTGGGGTAGCCTTTGATGGATTGATTTGGGGAATTGAGCCCCCGGTTCTTGTAGAGGGTAAATGGGAAACCACGCCTCTCTTATCCCTCAACCACCAAACCAATCATCGGGAAGCCGACAACATGGAAGGTCACATGTATGATTTTGTGGTGGGCAAACGCTGAGGAAGTTGCGGAAGCTACCAACGTTTTGGGAGCTTCGCAAAAGCAATTGACTTGCAGTTTCAGGAAAGATTCCCAGCCGCACAATTGTTGCACAAGACTTGTATCTGAACACCATAATTGCTCGGAAGGAATCCAATAAATTAGTAGAGGCACCGTCTTCTAGTCAAGCTGACTTCCTGTGTTGCCCTTCTTGGTAGCTATCGGCTGAATCCAATTCTGAGACCTAGTGCTCGCATCTAGGAGTTTTCATGCTCTGCTCTTCCCGCTAAATGACCCGACCCCGGGGCCACGTGCTGAATGGCGTCTCACCCTGCAAAACCAGAAGCGGCCAGGGTGGCTCGGGAGGGTGCTTCGACCTGCAACACCCGGCTTCCCGGCCTTTTCTCTATGTGCACCCACTTCCCTTCGAACTTTGGCAGTACGCGAGAAATTCCGCCGCACAGGGGTGCCAGCCCCACCTGACGTGTCGCTGAGAGCTATTGAGAGAACCTGATGTTTCAGCTAACTTGAAGCTGTGCTTCAGAAGAAACACACTAGAGGTGTTGGTTTGCTGGCTTATTCGTCCATGGGCTCTGTACAGGAGCGCCGCATGACTTGGAAGTCAAAGATGCGAGACAGGCAGGCGGCTTTGTGGAAAGCCAAACCAGTGAGCAGGGCCGTGATCAAATGCAGATCGGCATGACCCTGCGGCAACTCCATTGCAGCAAGACAAACCGTAAAAATACGTATGATACGAGTCCAATTCCGATCCCAAGCACATCGCAGATCTTTACCACATCTGTTGCTGGACCCTTGGGGTGCCCCGTGAGCAAAGGTTCATGTTGATCGTCATCTACTGTGAATAGGGAGTGTCAGGATATTGCGCACATTTACTAAATTGCACCTAGCAAGTGAGGTTCACTTGCAGAACTCTCATTTCAAGTGGGCATGTCTGCAGAAAAAATGCAGGGACTCTTAAGTTTGTGTGTGTGTGTATTTGTGTGCGTGCCTGTGCGTGCAAGCATGCGGACGTTCATGCTTCTGTGCGTTCGTGCCTACATGCTTGCCTGGGTGCCCAAATGCATTCGTACCGTAGTGCATGCATAGTGTGTGTGTGTGTGGTTGGTTGCTTGCTTGTTTGCTTGTTTGTTTATTTGTTTGTTTGCTTGCTTGCTCGCTTGTTTGTTTGTTTGTTTGTTTGTGCGTTTGTGTGTTTGTCGTGTGTGTGTGTGAGGGTTGTTTGTCTGTCTGTCTGTTTGTGTCTGTCTCTGTCTCTGTCTCTGTCTCTGTCTCTGTCTCTGTCTCTGTCTCTGTCTCTGTCTCTGTCTCTGTCTGTCTGTCTGTCTGTGTCTGTCTGTCTGTCTGTCTGTCTGTCTTGTCTGTCTTTGTCTGTCTTGTCTGTCTTGTCTGTCTTGTCTGTCTTTGTCTGTCTTGTCTGTCTTGTCTGTCTTGTCTGTCTTGTCTGTCTTTGTCTGTCTTGTCTGTCTTTGTCTGTCTGTCTGTCTGTCTGTCTGTCTGTCTGTCTGTCTGGCTGTCTGTCTGTCTGTCTGCGTCTGTCTGCGTCTGTCTGTCGGTCTGTCTGTCTGTCGGTCTGTCGGTCTGTCGGTCTGTCGGTCTGTCGGTCTGTCGGTCTGTCGGTCTGTCGGTCTGTCGGTCTGTCGGTCTGTCTGTCTGTCTGTCTGTCTGTCTGTCTGTCTGTCTGTTTGTCTGCGCGTGTGCATGTGCATGTGCATGTCGAGATGTTGGTGTTTGTGTTTGTGTGTGTGTATTGTGTGGGTAACAATCTTTTTTGAAGAGCCTTCTTCGGATCACCCATAGATATTGAATCACGCTGACCCATAGAGAATCTCTCAAGGTGCACAGCCACATTGATAGATGGTGCCTTGGATTGACTTGACGAGTGTCATTGACAATTCGCCGCACTCTTGTTTTGGCAGATCCTGCTGGTTTGCAGTGTATGGGACCTTCAACAGTTGACAACAGACCAGCCATCATGGCGGCCGACAATCCCCTAAGTTGGCTGGATCTTAGCAGTTGGCCATAGGCATTTTCTTTCGAGGGTTTAATTAAATTCGAGGAGCAAGCTTTGACAGCGAGGGAGTCAACTCTGATATCATTAAGTCTGATAGCATTGGTGGCGCAACATTTCCATAGCCAGACGTGCCTGCTCAGCGCATCAGCTGATAAACCAAGCCCTTGCAAAGCACTTGGGCCAATGCAAGATTTGGGTGTGTCTTTTTGTAGGGGACCACCCAAACAGTCCTGTTGGTGTCCCTTTCAGTTCACCACATTTTTTGTGGCCACGGCAGACTATTCGCAGCTCAAGGCTCGAAAAAGTGTCCGCACAGATTTTCGGTTTTCCTGGCTAGCCGGTGATCGAGTGTGAGCCAGTCAGTCTAGCCAAGGTCAGCCAATCAGTTGACCTGTCAAAACACCATTATTGCCCAGTACACCAGCGAGTAGCAAGCCAGCTAACCAACTGGATGGCCAGCCAGCCAGCCAGCCAGCCAACTAGCCAACTAACGAGCTATCATCCAGATTTGCCAACCATTGCCCACAGCATGGTAGAGCCAATTTGTACACATTGAAATGGCTTCAATTAGAAGATTGCAGTGTGACAGCCTGATTTGTCCTATCTCGCTTCTTCGCAAAGCATTCAGAAGCATGCTTACCCACGGTCACGAAAGAGCGAAACAGAGTGTTCTCGAGAATTGTTTCGGAGCAGAGTCCGGGATCCAAGATGTTGGGAAGAGGGAAGCACTTGTGATCCTCCCTCCCAACACTGCAATCTACAGCAAGTCCCAGGGAAAAAAAAAGCTTTTGTTTGGGAAGCACCCTTTTGGTGTGGGAGGGTATCGAAAAGGAAGTTTACTGTTTTGGACACCGCATGTTTGTGGGTTGCATGAGACATAGAAAGGACACCACAGCATCATATTGATGGCGCGAGCCTTGGTTTCTCAAGCAAGGTTTACAAGAACATCCGCGGGTCGGATTTATGGATCTTTGCTGGCTTAGGAATACATGCATTGCGTGTGGAAAGGGCGAAGAACGAAGAAAACACATTCAGTAATTAGTGGAATAGCAGGAGCAGAAAGAATGTGGCCCAGCCGGCTGCCGCCAACTCCTACTGTCAGTATCGCATTTGCAATGTGGAGACTTTGGTGAGCCCCTTTTCGCACTCTGAAAACAACCATAGGTGTCGGCAGCATTTGGGCTGACAAACCTTTCTCAGACATGATCGAGGTTGCGTGCAGCGCTGGATATAGCGCTGCGGTTTCTGTGCCTTTGCAGTTGGATCAGCGTGATTGGCCCATCCTTGCTTTGGACCCCAAGCGTTTTCCCGGCGAAGAATTCGCAACAGGAACCAGGGAATGGCAATCAGCGCAACGGGCTCCGCTTGCATTTTGTTTGAAGTGTCCTGAACTGAGAGGCACAAAACAAGTGCAGATAGCAGGACATAGCGCAAGATCAGCTTTGAGACGTGAATCTTACACTTGTTGTCAGGTTGACGGGCTGATTTCCGGAGATTTCCTGAACCCGTGCTGCTGGCTCGAGACCACGGTGAGCGCTCCTGCGAGCGAAGGCCGTGCTATCTCGATGCCCGCCCACGACTCATCGTTTGCAAGACGAAGATTAGTAAGGGAGAATCCCAACCATAAATAGAGGCGGCCGCCCATGTATGGTTGCTGAAGCTGCTGAAGTGAGAAATTGTGCATCTTGCAGAGCATCGGGTTGTCATTGTGTTCATCGGCGTGACGTATCATATATATATATAATTATATTATAGTACACTGTATTCGAAGTCATACATTTGTCTGTATTTGTTTGTATAATATCAACTCACATGGTTCACGCCTTTATGGCCAGTGCCCAACGAGAGACAGCCAATGCCTCCTTCGCCTCGGTTTCGCTGAGGTGGGGCCTTGAGAGCAACGAAGTGAAGTGATGCCCCTGGGCCCAGAAGCGGTTGCGGACATGGCTCGTCGTTTTTCAAACGCCCCGAATTGGTCGGCTTTCTTGTGGCAAAGGCCCTTCAAAGCCAATCTAACAAGGGGTTCCCTCCAAGAAAGACAGATCCACATTGCAGGATACTGGGGGCTCCATCCGTACCAAGTGATAAAACCCTGAAGAACTGAGAGCTGCCTCCAATGTTGTAAGGCGGTTCAAAGGCAAACTTAATCCTTGGACGGAGGTGACTTGCTGGGTGGTTTCCTCTTCAAGACTTTGTGGATTGGGCGAGTCTCCATTGCTATGGTTTGTTGAGCTCAGAACGTTTAGTGTAGGCTCACGAGAATAAAAAGAAGGCGTCCATTATTTCAGACACGTCCAATCCGCCTAAGCAAAGAATTGGTAAGGTACTGTAAAGTTAGGATACTGTAACCATGCTACGATGCTCTTATGTGGAAGTTGATCCAAAAACAGGTCCCACACGTGGGATGACCATTGGGGACCCCCTGAAAAGATGATATTTCCCACATGGGAGAAGTTACCCATGGTTATTTGGTTGCCGAACGGACTATTGAACAACCCCCATGTCTTGGCAACGCCTCGAGGCGGAAGATTCTGCTGATCTTGGGCTTCTCCTTGGTGGACTGCATGAGTCAGAGTGATACAGTCAAGTTTCTAGGGGTTGATTCCAAATCTATTTTTTTCAACCATCGTTCTTTTCAAAAACCGATCGCCGTTTTTCCTGGGATTCTGGAGGTTTTCTAGAAAGAAGGATCCCTAGAAAGAATGGGGAAGGTACCAACAGAAAGTTGGATGTGTCTTTGTTCAGGGGACCCACCAAAAGTGCGATGTGCCTTTTTGGTTTCCCCTCAAAACCACCCAAACAGGGGTATCCCCACAAAAGACAACCATTTGGATGTGTTCTGCCTACGCCTCGAGCTCACCGATTCGAATTGGGCTAAAACGAGCTCACCATGTGGATCCTGGTAAACAAACTGTTGTACATTCGGTTAAGGATATCGATGTTGTCTAAAAGGTATAGGTCGGTATCCATACCAAAAACTCAAGGTCGAAAGGCTTGCCCAAAAGAAATCGACCTTTCGACCTTTTGTCTTTGGTGTGGCAGATGTCTGGTGGTGGCTCCAAACGGTGAACAACTTTGATTCCTGGGCCCTTTGGTGAACGACTTTGATTCCTGGGCCCTTTGGGCAAGTACTGTCAGCCCGGGAAGTCGCAGCAACTGCGTGTGGTCATCAGCGTGCCAGTGGGGGAAGGTGCAGGGTAGTTCGCATCAACTTGCGTCGACACTAAGTTGTATATTGATATTGCCAATTCAGAACCAAAGTAAACCCAACAAGTTGCCTGTTGTTAGCCCACAGGATGGACAGCTTCAATCGTCTTTTGCATGGCACGGAGTTGTTTTTACATGGCACAGGTGAGACAGACCTTGCATGGTTCTTTTTTTTAGCTAGCCTGCTTGAGCTTTTGACTTGCAACATGCTGCCGTTTTTTGTTCAAGCACATGTCATCCCTAGCTT